TTTCATACTGCCTACCAGGTAATGCATTAAAGTGGTAAGGGCAATTTTTTAAATTTCCATTTATATTTGAGCATTGCAATTGGAGTTTTGTAATTAAATATCATTATTTTCGAACAGAAAGAAGCCACTTACTCGATAAAAATAATATACCGCTTTCCATAGCACTATATTGTGATGTGTTCTTCTTTAAACTTTACCTCCAAAAATTCCCTAGTTTATTTATTTTCCCATGATTTTGAACAAGAAGGCCTCTTTCTTCTATAACGGATGAGCTATCGATTCCTAAAACACCGTATTTTAATGTGTTTTATCTCCTTTCACCTGAACCAATCTAACCTCCACGAAAACTCCAATTATCTCCAATAAATTTCCAAAAAAAATTTATATTTTTTTTTTCATTTTCATTTCTAATAGAATTAAAATTAATTAAAAAAAACTAAAAAAAAGTCACTATGAAAAAATATAAAAATTAAATAAAAAATAAAAAATTAACTAATAAATAAATAAAAATTAAATATAAAAATAAAAGGAAAATAAAAACAAAAACAAAAATTAAGAGAAAAATAAAAATAAAAGTAGAAATGAAATTCAAAAATAAGGAAATAAAAATTAACTTAAAAAATACAATAATTATAATAATGAAAAACAGATTTAATAAAAATGTAAAAATCAAAAACGATACAACAACAAAGCATTCCTCAAAAAAACATTTCAATGGCATTAATGCATTTACAATTATCTCCCGCGGCAAACAAAGAGATTAAATATCAACAACAACAATTAATTTTACAGAAATGAAAATTCTTTTGAAATGCACAAATACTGAAATCCAAATTCCAAGGAAAAATTTTTTGATACGAAAATCATTATTGTCGAGCAATAAAATGGCAATGGCACATATTCCCATCAATATGTAGTAGTGAGTGCTTATGTACGAGTGTGTACATGAAACTGCTGTCCAGTCGCCCAGCTGCTCGACAAGTTAATTGACTTGCACATAGAAACCGTTAGACAGATATGCATTCAGTGCAGTATGAGAGCAATGGGAAATCAAGAAGGCAGGAGGCGAACCATATTTGAAAGACATAAAAATAAAAAATAAAAATAAAAAAAATAGATAAAATTAAACATCAACTCGTACCTTGCGCCCAGACTAATAGCTGAGTTTGTACGCTTGTGCTGGCAGCGCTCGTGTGCGCTGTATATTTATGTTAGAAGCTTTTAAAATCGTTCGACATTCCATATTAGATCGACAAGTGGCCGCCGGTGTCCAAGACTCTGCTGTGTTTACTTGTCAATGCAACGAGTTTTGTCGTGAGAGACCGTCGGCGATGGGCAAGAGGTTAATGAGACGATAGAGTGATTGAACTTTTGATTACTTTTTTAAATGAATTAAATGGGATTTCATTGTCTACCCCTTGTGGCGAGTAAAGGTACCTACATCCACACAAAAGAAATTCTTTAAATGGTGCATCCGTTTCATTTAAATCACCTTAATTTAGCCGTGCACTATGAGAAACTGAATCTTAAAGATATTTGGTTGAATGATTGAGGTCATATAAGGGCCGCAGTCTGTTTCATTATCAGCCATCTTGGGACGGCTTTTCAAAGAACTCAGCAATTAGCTCATCATGATGGAAGTGGTAGCCATAGAGGATAGCCACAACGGTTTTCTCAAAAATTGAAAACTTTTTCTTCTTAAATCTAGACTAAAAAGACAGAAATATCTCTGTTGGCTGTTTTCAGAAGGTACACTACTCTGGGTCAACCCGCGTCAAGTAGCTTGAAAGGGATAGTTCACAGTGACTCAGGAATTCTTTGAAGAATATGGAACTGATATAACTGATGCAGACTCTGCGACGACACCAAGAAATACGTGGTACTTGCTCTCCTCTCAGAGTAGTAATAATGGCAACAAATCTTCCATTAATATTAACGAACAGTAAGTCTAGACGAGATCGTGCGAGATGTACTCCAAAAAGGTATTAGAAGTCTTGACAAGCCACTGCTTTTTAGGATGGCAGGCAGAAATTCTTAGAGACCCAGTAAGAGCTGAAAGAAAGAAGAAGTGATTCCTCATATTTTTATGCTACTGTTCTGCCGTAGCAAGAGCCAAGAACCGAAGTCTAAGAAAAGTCTTCTTTGTGCAGAGTAAGGATCCGATGTCTGGCAGCAACCCTCGCTTCCCTTCTCTTCCTACTGGTTTCATATGTACTCCCACAGCGCTAATCATATATACACACATACTTGTGCTCCTTCGTTTGAATACTTCATCAATGCATAGCGCGGCTTCTTCCATTCAAAAGTGCTTTCTTTGTAGTAATTTCTCTTTCTTCGCCTGGAGAACTTTTGTTTTCTCGAAAGTTTTGAAAAGCTTGAAAAGATTTAAATTTTTTCAGATAATAGATTTTACTTTATGAAGGTGTTAAGGAAGGGTAAGGCGGATAGTAAGACGGAAGGTAAGACTAAAGTAAGACATAACGTGAGACGGGAGGTAAGGCGGAAGGTTTTAGCACCTCTTTCATTCTACGTGATGAGTGCGAAAACCCACCGCACAGCTGAACTTGGCGAGGGGACTTCTAGTTGGGTTACCTTTATATAAAAATGCTATCGCTTCAAGACCGACGCCGACTAGCTCATAAAAAGTTTTTTGTTTCTTTCACGTAGACGATAATGAATATTCTAGATGAGGGGAAAAATGAGCGCCACGCGATTTCACAAATATCTACATAGTACGGCGGTTTGAGAGACAACGGCTACGCTGACTGTGTCATACCATCTGTACGGCGAAAAACCCTCCAGCTCAGAAAGTATTTCATGCCTTGGAAGCAGTGTAGAATCAAGATATTCACCCAGTAGAAAGGAACAGGGGAATAACAGCCTGGCTTCACTTGAGTTCCTCAAATGGATCAGATTTGTGAAAAGAAGAAACTACTGGCGATTTGGCCTTTCGGTCATAAACACATAAGCAATGTGTGCGCCAATTAATAACAAGAAGAAGAAACAGAAAGCTAAGAAGTAGAAGGCGAAGAGGAGGAAGACTATATATACAATATATAATTGGCGCTTCGGGACCGCAGAAGCTCCTCCTCCAATTTGCGGCTTTGCGTATTGATATTTTTCCAACAAATAGAGGGACCTACAGTTTATACTAAGCCGCCTCCGAACGGCTAATGGTTTCCTTACGAGGAGTCGTGTCCGAAATTCACTCGGAGGTGGACATTGCCTGCCGAGGGGCGACCATACTTAGAAAATTTAACTTAGTTTTTTATATAAATTAATATTCTATAACTTTTTGACGTTGGTGGCACCGGGATTTGAACTCGAGCCTTGCGAATGTCAGTACACATTGCTAACCACCACCATTGAGAGTAATCTCAGTGGGAACTTTCGCGCTTCCGAGCATACAGTACCAAATGGGGTACTCACCCTTCCACCTCAGCATCTTTCTAATATGGTGCGCAAGCAGTTCTCCCACCAGCTAAAGGGATCTATTGAAAATTCTTCTCATTTCGAGCTCCATTCTAAGCACGAATGTGTTATTTAAAAGGACTTTCAAGGGAAAAAAATTAAACAAATACGAAAAATTTAATTTCTGCTCTTCCAATTCACGATCCATCCTTTTTAGGGGTAAATGTATGTATATATATGTATGTATATATTTTCTTTTCATTACGCTTTAGCACAACATATTTATTTTAATATTTTCCCCCTATTTTTTCTTTTAGTTTATCCGAATATTATTCTATAGTTTTCATGCTTTTTAATTTTTATTTTTTTATTTTTTATTTTGTCCTTCATTTCGGTAATTTTTTCCTCTTATCTCTTTTATTTTCGTGCTTCTTTTCAATTTCAAATTTATATCACTTCACTTCACAAGCATTTCCACGCAGTTGCGAATACTTTTTTTTTACGGATTCTCCTTTCACTCCTCTACTTGGCTCGCTCCCTACCACGCTTAACCACAACTAACTTGCCACGGCAACGGGTTTTTAAAGACCACGCACCAACGCCCTTTCCACCATGGCTCGCTGTGCTCATTCATTTATCCTGCCACATATTTCTCCAGCGAACTGCTATTCATCATTTCGCAGCACAGCTCAGCTGCACCTCGCAGGGGCCACACTCTATCGCCTCCTCCACTTCCACTGCCTCTTTCGTTCACTCTCTCTCTCTCTCTCTGCACGCTTGCATTGCATATGATTTTCTCTTTCATTTTCCATGCATTTTTTCGGCCTTTGTATTAGCAACTTTTTCCTTTTTCTTTTTTGCCTTTCTTTTCCGTTCTTTTTTCTCGTTGTGAGAAATGTTCAGTAATTTAGCATCAAGCAAACAAAGAAAAAAATATGCCCGGGATTCATTGCCCCAAATTGGTGTTGGAGAGGAAGAAGCAGAGTGGCTTAGCATGCTCATTGGCCTTGCGTCTCAATGTTTTCTTCTTCCTCTTATTCCACTTCTTCCCTCTCCTTCTCGGTCATGACTCGGTTTGGGCTAAGCCATCAAGTCTGCGCTGTCACTAATTCTCAAATTCCCTTTTTCATTTTTTTTTTTTTTGTTTTTGTGCTCTCCCCTTCTTGCCATTTTTTATCCTTTTTTATTTCATTTCTTTTCCGTATTGGAATTTTTTTGTCCTTCATGCCTTCATAGGTGCTTTGATTGCTTAACCTGCTTGTATTTGTTTGGTCGCCTGTTGCTATTTCGCTGCCGCATGCCGCATGCAGCATGTTGCACATAAATATTTTCACTTTTTTGTTGGCGAAGTGAAAGCTTGCTCTGAGTGCTAAATTAAAATCAGATTTGAGGCTTTTATGAAAAAATAGTAGTAGATGCTGATTTCAAAAGAAAAAAAGCTTGAAATGAAAGATGAGCAAATGCCATTTGGAATTTTTTTGGGAATTGAGCGGGTGCTCTGGAGTATATTTAAAAGAGAATCAAGTTTTGAAAACTCTAGAAAATGCTTTGAACTTTGTATAAAAATAAAAAAATAGTCTTAAACTTACTCTGCGTTATTTGTGGTCTGGGGTTGCCTACTCAGTTGTTCCAGCTGGTAGCTCTGTTATGATCCTGTAATTAAAATTAGATATCGAATTATTATTTTATACTACAGACACTCACTTACTATGTAAATAATTAGGGATTTTATTTAAAAAAAATCTTTGGTGACTTTTAAATTTTTAACTTTTTTAATTTAATTGTAAAAATAATCACTTTTTATTTAAAAAAAATGCTCTTTGATATTCTGATTTTTTTCATGTGCATTTTTTAATTTTTTTCAGTTACGATTTTTTTGCGGTCAAATTTTCACTTCACCTTCAAAAATAACTATTTTTTTAATTAAAAAAAATTTTAAGTGATGAAAAATGCTTGTATAATTTTATATAAATTTAATATTATTTTTTTCTTCATTTGCATTTGTTGTTTCATTTTGCAATTTCTTTTTTTCATTGAAAACATTTTTTATCTTTTATAAAACTATTTATTTGATTGCAAAAAATTTTTTTTCACATGTAATAATTTTTAAATTTGTCAAAAATATATATTTCTCGCTTAACGAAAGCATTTTTCATATGCAGTAATATATGTAAAAAATTTTCCTTTATCTGACTTGAACTGGTAAAAAATATTTTCATGTTCATTCGCAAAAATTTTTCTGTCATTTATTCACAAGAAAACTGTTTTTCAATTTTTATTTCATCGATATTTTTAGCAATCGTTATTTTCTAACAATCGATAAATTATTTCCCTTAAACGATAAAATATCCTTAAGCATCAAATTTTGCGATTAGCGACAAATTTTTTTGGAGCAGTCGATAAATTGCTTCGACTAATCGATAAATTATTTTGACTGTATTTCTTATAATTGCCAAATTACTTTAATTCGAATAATTGTTCAATTTCTTTAAAAAGTGGAAAAACTATAAGCATTTAATGGAAATATTTCTTTGGCTCGTATAATTTTTATTATTTTTTTCAGTACAATCCATATATTATTTTGCTGCTAATAACCGCTAACTTTTTCAAATACGAACGAAAAATTATTTGGTCTCAAAAATTTTCGGAATTTATCAAGTAATCGTTAAATAAGTTTGAATAAACGATAAACTATTTCAAAATGTCAATAAATTGTTTTGATATATCGATACATTTTTTAATTGAGGGAAAAGTCATTTTGATTTATTGATAAATATTTCTATTCGTATATAAATTACTTCGTCTCATCGATAAATTATTTCTCATCGACAATCAACTTTTAACTTGTCGATAAGTTTTCGATTTATTGGAAAATAATTTCGGTTAAGCACTAAATTATTTTAACATGTCAGTAAAAAAATTTAAATAACCAACAAGCAAAAAAATACTTATTTCGATAAATCGATAAATGACTTCAATTAATTAACAAACTATTTGTACATATCAATAAAAAATCTCCATGAGTCAACTAATAATTTCAACGCATCTATAAAATATTTCCATTAGTCGACAAATTATTTCAAAAGATCGATAAAATATTTCCATTAATCGACAAATTGCTTCAAAAGATCGATAAAATATTTCCATTAACCGATGAATTGCCTCGATTTGTTGTTGTCATTTCAGTAGTTTGATAACGGTTTTAATTAATCGACGTTTTATTTGGACTTGTCGATAAATCATACCGACTTATCGATAAATCATTCCGACTTATCGATAGATTGATTCTATTAATCAACAAATTATTTCGATTAGCTGAGAAACTTTCCCGATTAAGCGAAAAACTATTTCGGTTTATTGAGAAACTTTTTCGATTAATCGATGAATTAAATAAAATGAGCAACGTAAGAAGGCAGCTTGTATATTTTTTAAGCCTAAATTCGAAAGGAGGTCTCTCCATTTCACTCATTTTCCTCATTCCTCTTGCCTTCTATCAACAATATAAGCAATATTTAAAGCACTCGCTGGTATCATGTCGTATTATATCTCAAGTGCCATCTCAGCTCAAGCAGGCAAGTAATCAAGTACGCAAGAAACCACAAGCTCGGCAACCCAAACCAACCATTGTCTAGTAATATGTCTATTCTTGCATTTGTCTTTGCTTATGCTATAGCGGTTATTATTGTTGCTGTTTTCTTCTTTTGTTTTTGTTTTTTGTTGTTGCTATTGTCAATTGCACAGTCCGCACTTAGCGAGCTCACGAGCTCTTCAACATAAAACTTGTCTACCAGATAAATCGCCTGATTACTTCCACCGGAAATCAACTAACAAATAGAAATAGACATAAACAGCGACAGAGACAGAGACAGAGGAAGAAACAGAGAGACTCGTGATGCGGTGAAACACAAGCACGTAACTGAAAGTGAGCTCTGCGGCTGGAATATAGTTGAGCAAGCGGTCGTCGTGTATATTTTGTCAGTATATTTATTTATTTACAGTTAAATACGAATGTTGGGCAGTACAACCAACTAACCGACCAAGCCAACAGGTTCAACTTGCAATTCCTTGTTTGCGTGTGTATGTGTGTGTGTGTGTGAGTATGAGCTTAATGTTTGTTATTTGGTGAGGTTAGTCAACAACAGCTCAGCGGCGTCTTAACTCGATTTGTGCGCGAAGGCTAAAAGTATATATACGAGATAAGACAGCTCGACTCGACTTGACTAGTCATCCCATTGCCATTTAATGTGACAATAATGTGCAACGAATAGGAAACAAACATAGACTTGGCAGAAAACGGTGGATGGGTCAACTGAAAATGCGCAATAACGGCTTTTTTTGGTTTTTAATTTGTTTTTTTTTTTTTTTTGCGGACAGCAATGTTCTGCTGAACTTGAGTAGGTAGTAGATGAATGCCCAAAATGTGAATGGCACGGAAATGAGATAATGCGATAATGCGCTAATGAAAATAAATTTGTTACGCGCGAGAAGTACGTGGCGTGCTGAAATATTGAGTGCGGAAAATTGGAGATTTAAAATAAAAGATTTAAAATTGAAATAAACATTCATTTATTTGACAGGAAATGGAAAAAATACGCTGTTTGATGAATTATTGGAAGAGTAAGATTGAAAAAAAATAATGAGGGTAATATTTTATCGATGCTCTGTAATATAAATATTTTCCTTAATAAGTCATCATCAAAATTTCTTTGGAAAAACCAACTGATCGATATTGGGTAACGATTAGCCGTTATTGGTTATCAATCAGTCGGTATTCGTTATCGACTAGTTGATATTAATTATCGATTAGTCGATATTGGTTATCGATTATTCCAAATAATAACAACATCGAATTCCGATAAATGTATAATCCACCAATTAAACGCAAAAACCTATGGTTTGAACACAATAATTGTTATTAGTTAGTCGTAACATGTCTTCGATATGTGGTAAAACCAGTGAACAAATCATGGTACGAGTATATTGATTAATGCTAAAATTAATAATAGAGTTGAAAATCATCTCATTTCATAATCTTCTTTCGCTCAATAATAGTAAGCTGATTCGATTAATTTTTATCTCTACCAAGTAATTGTAATAAATTATCGATTATTTCAAAGTATGTCGATTAGTAGTAGTAATTATTCAAAAAACTCATCGATTGTTCGTGAAAATAAATTAATTCATTCCGGTCTAATAATTACTATCATCAATTAATCATATCTTCCCAATATTTTTTAAACACTCATTACTCAGTTAAAATAAACTACCGATATACGATAGTAAGTAATGGATTTAATATAAAGGTCTATCGATTAATCAAAAAATCGAATTATAGAATATCATACTTTTAATTAAATATCGAATACTCAATAATTTTTGTTCAACCAGAGAAGTTTTGCTCAGACTCAACTGCTCAAGAGAGTCTCCTTTAAAAGAGCGCCGAAAAGAAGCGAAAACTACTTACTATTGTGCCCGCATAAGGGCAATATTCTTTTTAATTTTTCTATACTACTTTATTCTCTTCCTGCCTCATCCTAAAGCCCCTGTCTCTCTCTGTTCTCATACTTTTTACAATTTTTTTCCACGGTGTGTTCACATTGTTTAAGCGCATAAACTTCCGCTTAGTGCATCTGTTAGACAAAAGTTTGTTCTACTCGGATTTTCCACTTCCACGCGCAACGAACAACAAGTGGATTTAAGATCTTTTCCATGTTCTTAAATTGTAAAGGAAGATTAAATTTTGCGTGTTTTACTTGTAAAGAAAACTTAAATGTGAATTGCAAGGTGGGAAAAATTCTTCAATTAATTTCCATTCTTTAATTCATTTTTAAATTTTATTTTTTTATTTTACTTTTAATTTTTTTTAATTTATATTAATTTATTTCATTTTAGCTTAATTAATTTTATTTTATACTAATTTATTTTATTTTAGGTCATGTTATTTGATTTTATCTTATTTATTGTATTTAATTTTACTTTATTTTATGTCTATTTATTTTATTTTATTTTATTTTATTTTATTTTGTTTTATTTTATTTTATTTTATTTTATTTTATTTTATTTTATTTTATTTTATTTTATTTTATTTTTTTTTAATTTTATTTTATTTTATTTTATTTTATTTTATTTTATTTTATTTTATTTTATTTTATTTTGTTTAATTTTAACTTAATTTAATTTATTTTATTTTATTATATTTTAATTAATTTGCAAAATTTTGTAAACAGCTGTTGCCTCCTTTTCACCTCCTACTCATTCAACTGACCGAACTTTCAACACCCTATATACATTTCACCAACTATCTACCCACCACAAATCGATTTCAAACAATCGTCTGTTCAATTCATCGCCTGCTAATCCTACTGAACGCCACATAACACCAATATCTGCGCTAAACAATGGAATTTTCGACAACGATATTGTAAACATTTGCAATTTCCAAAAATACACGAGTGAATTTTATAATAAAAGTGCGACTATGTGCTGATTATGTGTATATACATAGTGTTATATGCAAAGATATTGCACATGTGTGTATATTTTTGTATACATTTATCGATACTGACCAAATGCGACTAATTGCAGGGCGAAAATTGTACAAAATGAGTCAATAAATCCAATTTAATCGTACTTAATAAACAGAATGGTGGTCT